ATAGACCTGGAGAGATAATAATATGCACAAAAAGAAGACAGAGCAAAACAAAGCAACAAAAGAAAACAAAACAACAAAAAACAATGACAATAAAAAAAAGAAAAGCCTGTAAATAGTTCAAGGTCTGTTTGTTGACCTTTATGAGTGCTTTCCAGTCCAGTCTGATGGGGTGCCACACCCTGGCCCCAAAGTCTATTTTTGGTATTCCCTTGGGACTTCCTTGCTCTGTTCCCCTAGCTGTTCTGTTGCACACCCTTAGTGTTTTGCCTCAGTGTGGTGGGGTAAAAAGTTTTCTTAGTAAGCCCCTGTGATCATCATGTTTCCTTCGAGGAAATCTATCAAGATCAACACTTGGGGATCCCCAAAGCAATTGTTATAACCTTCTGAGCAGACCTCTTTTCCTTGAATTTACCTGGCCTAGGAAATCCCCTTGGACACCACTGTTTTGGGCAGATCATTTTGAAAGATCTAATGAGACTAGGACAAGTATATTGCTACAAGAGTTTGTGTTCATCATCTATTGATTGCAGAGACATGTTTAAACATGTTTTCTTTGGACTAAACCTGTGCGTGTATGAACTGGAACTATAGTAGCACTACTTTTTTACCTACCCTCGTATATGGTAAACAAGTACATAAATACATCATACTTGCATTCCCTAATTGTAATAACTCAAATCTCTATAAATTATCAAATTACAATTTCCCAATTAGCAATAAAGCATACCAGTTATACTTAAAACATGACAGTACATGATAAGTAAACCTGTGGATTTCTGCTCCTTTTCCAAGAAGACAAGCCATTGGTCTCTTTCTGGCTCTATGTTGATGGCTGAGGATAATTTGCATTTACTTGTGTATCTAATTTTCTGGATGATGTTTTTAATCAGGGAGCCCCACTTTGAAAACCAGTGCTCTACATATATAGCATGAGGTCTTCTCCCTCTCTTACTTTCTTATAAGCACGTTAGTGCTTATTCCTCCCTAGATGGGTTTTTCTTTTTTTTCAGATCTTTGTTCAAATAAAACCCCTTCAGAGAGGTTTACCTAGATTACCCTATTTAAAGTGGCAATGCCTGTCCCCCTCCTTTTCTTGGGGCATTTAGTACCATATTTATTTGCCTATTATGCACATTCTCCCATCAGATTTTTTTTTTTAATGCACTCGTAGGTTTACTGCAGCAATCTCCATAATAGCAAAAAGATGAAAACATCCGAAAACTCTGATTCTAGAGCAGTGGTTCTCAATCTTCCTAATGGAGTGATCCTTATATTGTGGTGAACCCCCCCCCCCAACCATAAAATTATTTCCTTTTTTCTCCCATAAAATTATTTTCGTTACTACTTCATAACTGTAATTTTGCTGTTATGAATCGGGCGACCCCTGTGAAAGGGTCATTCGAACCCCAAAGGGGTCGTGACCCATAGGTTGAGAACCGCTGTTCTATAGGAATGGATATTCATTAGATTTTAAGTTCCAAGGAGGGCAATACCTTTAATGGGAACCATGTCCTATTCATATCAGGTAAACAGCACTGGCGAATACAAAATAGATGCTCAATAAATAGGAAGGGGCTTCAAAAGAAGCTACAAAAAATTGCCTTTCATTTTCCATGAACAGAAAAACAACCACTCTACCATTGAGTAGAAGGAACCCCGTGGGATTCCGAGGTTATCCATCCTCACGGGAGTAGAAAGCTCATCCTTCCTCGTCTTCGGAGCAGCTGGTGAGTTTGAACCGATGACGCTACACCACCCACTATGCCACCAAGGCTCCTTTTCAGTGAACTCCAAAAACACTTTTCTCCCAACTCTGGTGGATTCCAGCCGCTGACCTCACGGTGGGCACACCAACACCTAACCCACGGCGCCACCAGTGTCCCTTGAACTAGCCCCCTCATACGCCTAAGGAGCGTTTGTAATAACGAACGAAGGAAAAAGAAAAGGTCAGGGTACCGGAAGACCTTAGACACACCGCTTGCCCCGCCTCCGCCGACGTCAAGGGGCGGGACTTCCTGTGTGGACGTGAGAACTTCCTGTGTAGACCGGATGTTCCCATAACTCTCGCTGCTGCTTGGTGTCTTTCCTGCGGTTACCGCTGCTGCCGTCGCCGCTATGGGCAAAAGGGACCGGGGGGACCGCGGTGAGGCCTCTCAGCTCCCGCCCCCGGGCACGCCCCTGTGTTGTAGCGGCTCCCGGGCTGCCGGCCGCGGCCCAGCCCCCAGGCCCCGGGCCTGCAGGCGGAGCCCCTCCGAGGTCGGGCCTCGTGCACGGCCGCGCCCGCGGAGCAAGGGGATAGGCTGTCCTCGTGGGCCGCTGCGCGTCTCGGGGCAGATGGGGAGCATCTGCCGGGGTGCAACGCGGCCCCCGCCAGGCAGTGCGGGGAAACTGTCCTCTGGCTGGTTCAAGTCGGCTCTGTATTTGCAGATAAAAAAAAGTCCAAGAAGCGACACCACGAGGATGAGGAGGTGGAGGAAGATGACGCCCCCGGGAATGACTCTCACGAAGCGGTTCCTTCGGCTGCTGGGAAGCAAGTCGACGAGTCGAGCACCAAAGTGGATGAGTATGGAGCCAAGGACTACAGGCAGCAGATGCCCCTGAAGGACGACCACACCTCCAGGCCCCTCTGGGTGGTAAGTGCCCTCAGGTCCCAGGAGTTGGTGGAGTACAGGCTAAATCCCGAGGATGTAATGAACAGATGTGTATACCCGGTGGGCCACACCTGGTGTGCCCAGCGCTACCCCCTCACTCCATGCAGTACCACTCCATGCTTGAAGATAGTTATCTCACAAATAAATTACATGAAACATTTTATTTTCCCACGTAAGGAATTAATAATAAACACCAAAACCAAACTCACAACCACCCAGTCAATGGTGGCTCATAGCGAATTGCTGTGGGTTTACCAAACTAACTGATTAGGGGCTTGCAAAACCCAGCCTTTCAGCTGCTGGTGGTTTGGAACTGCTGACCATGTGGATTGCAGTCCAGTGCATAACCCCTACACCACCAGGGCTCCCAAATTAAAGATGACATAAATTTGCTAGTCAACTTTCGTCCGACTTGAAATAATTTTCTTCGTTCACTTGAAATCTACCCCCAAAATCTGTGAATTAGTATGGCTAGTAAATTGGGCTGTCTGTGAAGAGTGGTAGGAAATACTGAGCTTATCCCTCTGTATCTGATTGGAGTATCAGTTACATGAAAGAGTTCTAGTAAAAAAAAAAACAACCCTGATGTTTCAGTTTGCTCTCTTGATGGGAGCTTCTCTTTTCTTAAAAATGATGTGGGAGGAGTAAATGACCTGTGCACTTTAGTTCACCTGTGTGTTCTGTTTGGTGTTTCCCAGGCTCCCGATGGCCACATCTTCTTAGAAGCCTTCTCTCCGGTTTATAAATACGCTCAAGACTTCCTGGTGGCTGTTGCTGAGCCAGTGTGTCGGCCAACCCACATACATGAGTACAAACTAACTGCATATTCCTTGTATGCAGCTGTCAGCGTTGGGCTGCAAACCAATGACATTACTGAGTACCTCAGGAAACTCAGTAAGACAGGCGTACCTGAAGGAATTATTCATTTTATTAAGGCAAGTAGGGATTGAGGCAGGCCCTTCTCCCCTTCCTGGGAATACAGTAATAGTGATTTTGTGGGGCGTATAATTAACTGATGTAGATACTGTCCCCCTGGATCCATTCTGGAAGAGATCACCTGTCGGAGAGCCAGTGACAACATGGCTGAGGTACTAATTCGGGCTCATTCTACCTACAGGCACTTGAGAATGCAGCTCAAAGTGGGTGTCAAATATTAGTGAAGGCTAAATGCCTGCGCAAAACACATATTGACAATTTCCATTGGGTGAAGTTGAAAAGAACGTCAAGGGTTGGAGAAGGTTCCGTATGAACAGTGATTGAATGTGATTTGGCTAGTTCTGAGAAATGGATGATGGTTATACAGAAGAGATGATGGCTTTTGTTGGCCTCAGCTGATCTAAAGGGAGTCAGATGTAGCCCTCCCAAATCAAGTGGAAGAAGATGGGTGCCACTGTATACTATTGCTTTGAATCCTAGAGAAGCTGGTGGGACCTTTGGAAGGAGTTCTCTTACGGTGTCCTGGAGTGGATTCACCAAGTGAGGGCCTTATACCTTGCTGGAGTGCTCCTGTTGTGTTCAGGCTGTGGTGGGAGCCGCCTTCAGGAATGAAGGTGCTAGTACAAAGTAGGGGTGCATGCAGAGGGGCAAGCAGCTGGCGCAGGCAGCAGGCCAGGTGAATGGCATACCACACAAACTGCTCTATTCCAACCTAAAGATTCTTAGGAACCTGGGGCTTCTATCAAGATGCTTGTATTCTAGTAGGGCTCCTGCGTTTTATGTAGACAGCATACAACTACTGAGCACAACCTCTGCCAACACTGGGGAGGTGTGGTGATGCTGGAATAGGATGGACCTCTGGGTTAGGGTGGAGCTGTGGCAAAGGGAAATCTAGGAAATATTTTTAGCAGTGTTTTATAATAAATTCAGAAATGGTTATGAGAAGTAGCCGGGCAAGAGGAGGATGTTGTTCTCAAAAAAGTAGTCTATTGGGAAAGCTTAGTTTAGGCAGCACGTACTCTTAGGACTGGGTACCCCTCAAAGTCAAATGCACTTGGTTGGTAAGTAGCAACAAATCAGTGTGTTCTGAGAGTTTCTTGAAACCTGAGCTGCTGCTTGCTAATTTTCTGTGTTTGCTGCTGCCATTCTTACAGCTGTGTACGGTCAGCTATGGAAAAGTCAAGCTAGTCCTGAAGCACAACAGGTAAGAAGCTTCCTGAACAAGCCCATCTCAAGGCACTTTCTTTCAGTGCACTTGAGGGAGGAGAGAGGGCTCTGGGAACCTGGAACTAGCATTTATGGATTGGACTGTCTACCCGGCACTCACGGCTGAGTTCCCATGAAGCTTAACTCAGGGACAGGAGAAATGATATAGCACAAACTGGAAATTTGCTCATTGGCCACCGTGTTCCCTTTGGAGCACTGTGGCTCAGTCCTCTGCTTATTTGACTTCAAAGCTGAGCTTTCCCCACAGCGCTTGTATATGACAGCCTTAACAGCTCATAACTTAGAGCGGGTAAAGGGTCGAGGGAGTGAGAGGGTGGGGAGAGGCGCCACTCTTTCCAAACCATCTAACTCAGCGGTTCTCGGCCTGTGGGTCGTGATTCCTTTGGGGGTCAAACAACCTTTTGACAGGGGTCGCCTGATTCATAACAGTAGCAAAATGACAATTACGAAGTAGCAACGAAAATAATTTTATGGTTGGGGGGTTCACCACATTAGGAAGGCTGAGAACCACTGATCTGATTGGATGAGCGGTAGAACCTTCTGGAAATTATACAGTAATCGGACATATCCTTCCTCCCCTGCGCATAGGTACTTTGTTGAGAGTTCCCACCCGGATGTCATTCAGCATCTTCTTCAGGATCCTGTGATCCGAGAATGCCGCTTAAGGAACTCTGAGGGGGAGGCAACGGAGCTTATTACAGAGACGTTTACGAGCAAATCTGCTGTATGTGAAACTGAGTTGTATGGATTTAGGGTGGGAGGTGCCGCTTTAGGATTTCTGGGCCTACCTATGTTTACCCTTTTTCAGTCATGCAGTTTTCTTTTGCCTTAGCTTTGTTCAGACCTTGTCTTTCTCGTATAGATTTCTAAAATTTCTGAAGTGAGTGGTGGACCCTCTACATCTCGAGGGACTGACCCACAGAGTAAATCTGACATCCCTACCGACTTGTTTGACTTTTATGAGCAAATGGACAAGGATGAGGAAGAGGAAGAAGAGACGCAGACAGTTTCTTTTGAAGTCAAGCAGGTTAGTGAATGTATCCCCGTCCTGGTTTGAAGTCCTAAGTTGCTTTTCCATTGTTAGTGTCTTTGGTGGGTGTATGCTCCTTAGGTTGATAGGCTTGTCTTCACAAGCAGTGAGGAGATAAGGAGAAACTATGTCTGTTGTTATTAAGCAAGATCTGAAATTACAGAAGTCTAGATAAAATGCCAGACTTGGCTGTTTTTGAACAGGTTTTGGAGTTAACAAGGCCGTCAAACTTCACTCGTGCTTCCTTCCCAGGAAATGATTGAAGAACTCCAGAAGCGTTGCATCCACCTGGAGTATCCTCTGTTGGCAGAGTATGACTTCCGGAATGATTCTGTCAATCCTGACATCAACATTGACCTGAAACCCACAGCTGTGCTCAGACCCTATCAAGAGAAGAGCTTGAGGAAGATGTTTGGGAATGGGCGTGCACGCTCAGGGGTCATTGTTCTTCCATGTGGTGAGTACCATCGGAGGGCATATAGACTCCACATGTCCATAAATCACACTTTCCCAGGGGACAGTCAATCCCTGCTGATCCCCTGATTCATTCTTTTGACAAGTATTTCCCGATTGCTGCTATGTGCCTGGCCTTGGCGAAAGCATATTAGGAGGCTATTTAGTCCTGAAACTTTGCTTATTCATATGGGCCATTTATAATGTTGTGTGACTTGGAGAAGGGGCAGTAGTAGCCCCCTTGGGATCTTATATTATTTGTTCAATATTAAGCTCTGGCTTAACTTCTTGGCCAGAGGTCATGACAGACTCATTCACCAGGGAAAGTAAACCAAACTTAGTGGAAGGATTGTCAGGGGAGGGGCCTGAGCTTGCAGGTGTTTTATTTGTAGAAAAACTCATGTGTTATTTTGATGCACACCCCTTTAAGAAACCACTGCCTTAAAGGGATAGCTTGAATTTGGTCTTTATCTTCATATGTTTTGTGTAGTAAGTAGTCAACTTGGAAGATCCTGGAATTTCATTTTCTTTCTTTTTTTCCCATACACTTACTGCATTCTTGAGTTCTCAGCTTGAATTGCTGGGTAAAAATAAAAACTGTCTTCTTTATTCAGTGTCCAGTTTCCACATGCAAATGAGGTGATTGAAAGTACCATGCACACCATGCTTTTCAACACTTTCAAGAGATCTTGTGCCTTAGATTTACCCAGTGCAACACATCTCTCGACTGCTGCTTCCTGGAGCATTGATTGTGAATCCAAGCAACTTTAATCTTTTCTCCATTTATTTTGTTACCTGATGGTCTAGTGAGATTTTGGTCTTCCTTACATTGAGTTATCAGCCACACTGAAGGCTGCAGTCTTTGATCTTTATCAGTAAGTGCTTCAGGTTCTTACTTTCAGCAAGCAAGGTTGTGTCATCTGCACACCCACGGTGTTGATGGTGCTGTTGATGATTTGCCCAGCACACAGATTGAACAAGTATGGTGAGAGGACACCGCCCTCACACACACCTTTCCCGATTTCAAACCATGCAATGTTGCTTTGTTCTGTTCGCAAAACTGCCTCTTGATCCATGTACAGCTTCCTTATGAGCACAATTAGTGTTCTAGATTTCCCGTTCTTCTCAAGGCGACCCGTAGTTTGTCATGGTCCACACAGTTGAATGCCTTTCCATAGCCAGTGAGACTAAAGTAAACATCTTAAAAAAAACACCATTCTGGTGTTCTTTGAATAAGGAAGAACAAAGAAAAATTGATGCATTTGAACTAGGGTTTTGGTGAAGAGTATTGAAATTACCATGGACTGCCGAAAGAATAAACAGGGCTGTCTTGGAAGAATTAAAGCCAGAGTACTCCTTAGGGGCAAGGATGGCGAGACTTCTCACAAACTTTGAACATGTCAGGAGAGACCAGCCCCTGGAGAAGGACACCATGCTTGGTAAAGTAGAGGGCAGTGACAGAGGAAGACCCTGATGAGATGGATTGACACGGTGGCTGCACCAGTGGACTCAAACATAAGGACAATTCTGAGGATGGCGCAGGGCTGAGTAGTTTGATTCTCTTATATAGAACATCACTGAGTTGGAAGTCACTCAGCGACACCTAACAACGATAAAAGCTGTCTTTTGTTGAATATCTACTGTGTTCAGGTTGAATGCCAGGGACTATTGTACAGCACCTCTTCTTTACTCTGACTTTAAATAAGGTACCGTCTGGCTTCAGTCTTCGCATCTTTCAGTTGATGGTATTAGTAGCGGCTCCTTTGTTTGCTTTGAGATTTCTACATTCAAATAAGATGGATGTTGAGGAAAAGGCACGGCGTCCATGTTGTATGACCTCCCCTGACTGCAGAAGGAGAAAGAAAATCCATTTCACCAACCCAAAGCCTGCTGTCACACAGCAGAGGCCAGGCATACCTCTAGCCTCCATCCTTCTCGCTCCCGTTCTGACACCAACCATTCCTCCCGTGACACTACTTTTATGCCACGTTGGGTAATTCGCTGTAACAGCTACACAGAACTTAAAGACAAACTCACAGTAATGGGTTTTTTTTAGGAAAGTTCCACCACTTGTCTGTCAGTTTGTCATACTGTGGTGTTGCTGTTATGCTGGAAGCGATGTCACTGATAGTTCAGATGCCAGCAGGTTCACCCAAAGTGAACAGGTGTGATTGGAGCTTCCAGACTATGAAGAAGGAATCGGCTGTTCGCAGAGGAGTAGCTGCTGAAAACCTTAGCATAGCATGGAGACTCAGCCTTATGAGTGGAAGCAGAACATTGTCAGAGGTACTGCCAGAGGCTTGGCCCGTAAATACAGCCCTCTGCGTCTGAGAAGGAGCTGGTTTCTGAAAGTAGTGGTGTTAGTGGAGTATAGTCTATGGGAGTAAAGTTTTTGGCGTCTTCTTTTGCTGGTGAAGCACAACTCAAAATGAGAAGAAGATCGCTATAAACATCAATAGTTGGAACTTGGAAGTATGAAGAAAGAGCTTAGGAAAATGGAAGTAGTCAGAATGAAATGGACTGTGTAGGCTTTAGTGAGCTGAAATGAACTAGCATTGGCCATTTTGAATCAAAGTCACGTGATCTAGTATGCAGGGAATGACAATCAAGAGGATTAGAATTTCATTCAATGGCAAAAAGGACATTTGAAGGACTGTTTTAAAATAAAACGATGTCTGTGACAAGATTACATTTCTCTGTCTTCAAGGAAATCCAGTCAGTAAAACTTCACATGTACACACCAACCACTAAAACTAGTGATGAAGAAATTAAAGAATTCTACCAACATCTTCAGTCTGAAATTAATCAAACATGCAATCAAGATACATTGATAATGATTGGCCCCAAATGTTTTGGCATGTCGTATTTCTCATTTGTTTACTGGAATTTTTAAATTGTGCTCTTTATTTCTTCAATCACCCAAGTATTTAAAAAGAAGGTTTCATTCGAATTTTATTTGTGGGTTTTTTTGCTTATTAATGATTTCTAATTTTATAGCATTGTGATCTGACATGATACTTTGTAGGAACTCAGTGTCTATTTGAATTTATTGATGCTTGCTTTGTGGCGTAACATGATCTACTCAGGAGTATGTTCCATGAGCTCCAAGGGAAAATATATATATATTTATTATGTTCTTGTTGAGTGAAGTGTACTGTGTACATCTAAGAGACCAAGTTGTTTAATTGTGTTGTCCAGTTCTTTTGTGTCTCTGTTGGTTTTTTTTCCCCAGTTGTTCTGAGAGTGGTATATTAAAGTCTCCTATTGTAGTATTTCCTGTTTGTCTCTTCAACTATGTCAAAGTTTGATTAATGTATTTTGAAGGTCTTTTATTGGGTGCACAGATGTTTATTATCATTATGTTTTCTTGTTTGACTATGACTTTCATCACTATATAATAGTCTTAGTATCTTATGATGGCTTTTACTTTTATGTCTATTTTGTTAAATTAATATTGCCACTCCTTTTATTACCATGAGCTTGATAGATTTTTTTAATAGACTTCCTGTCTGTGTCTGAGTGCGTTTGGCTGTGTTTTGACTTGTCGGGGCAGTCAGGCATCGCTGTTCTTCCAGGCCTCTTGTGTGGGTGTACACACTGCCTTTCCAGGCAGTGTCCGGCCCAGCTCTCTGTTCTGCTGGGGAGTTTCAGAGCTCAGGCTTGCTTGTTTTCTACTTTTAAAAAAACTTTGCTTAGAGAGGTAACAGAGTGCTCAGTTATCTGGCTTTGTTTCCCCAGACTGGGTGCGTAACGTTGTCTTTATGAGTTTGAATTCTCATGTCTGTGAAGTGGGCATGCAGTCTTTTCACAGGGCAAGAAACGGGCTTGGATCTGTAAGTGTCGGTGCGAGGGTTAGTATAAGGAGTGCGTCTAGGTTTATGTGCTGCTGCTGCTGCTGAGGCTCTCCATCTGCTCTTTGGTTTCTTGTAGGTGCTGGGAAGTCCCTGGTTGGAGTGACAGCTGCTTGCACTGTTCGAAAGCGTTGCCTGGTACTGGGCAATTCGGCTGTGTCTGTGGAGCAGTGGAAAGCCCAGTTCAAGATGTGGTCCACCATTGACGACAGCCAGATATGCCGATTCACTTCTGATGCCAAGGACAAACCCATAGGCTGCTCTGTTGCCATCAGTACCTACTCTATGCTGGGCCACACCACCAAAAGGTCCTGGGAGGCTGAACGTGTCATGGAGTGGCTCAAAACTCAGGAATGGGGCCTCATGATTCTAGATGAAGTACACACCATCCCAGGTGAGCAAGCTTGAGCGCGAGCTTCCCAGTCCTGGTATGATGAGAAGTAGTTTCTGTTTCTGGGGTTGGAAGGAACTGCTTTGTAGACAGTCCCTTACTGGCTGAACTCTTAAGTAATTCTTAGTATTCAGGGTGGGGGATGATTTACACTCATAGTTTTCTTATTCACCGATCCAGAGTAGTCGTTTCCAAATGCTAATTTTAAACCTTAATCTTCTTCCTCCTTCCATCTTTGTTGTTATTTCAGCACAATTTGTCCTTAATCCACTTTTCATGGTCCTATGAAAACAGGACTAAAAGATTAAAAAAATAAAATCCTTGTAGTATTTTGTAATATGTTCCTGTATATACTCGAGTATAAGCCGACCCAAATATTGGCTGAGGTATCTTCCTTTTGTTCCACTTTCTTTCTTTTGAACATGTCTAAAGTGATGGTTCGATGTTCATGCCTGGTCATTCCTGTGTAGAGCCAGATTTCTGTGAAGTGGTATGGCTGTTGTGGTCACACACTCAAGGTGGTACTTGAGCATTTTCAAAATGACGAGTGATTTTATTTTCTGTCTCTGCAGCCAAGATGTTCCGGCGGGTGCTTACTATTGTGCAGGCCCACTGCAAGCTGGGCTTGACAGCCACTCTTGTGCGAGAAGATGACAAAATTGTCGACTTGAATTTTCTGATTGGGCCTAAGCTCTATGAAGCCAATTGGATGGAGCTTCAGAACAATGGCTACATCGCTAAAGTCCAGTGTGCTGAGGTAACTGCACTTTGCTGGACCGAGGACTGGGTGGCCATATCCAGGGCTGATATTGGGAAGCCAGGGGAAACAGAGCAAGTGGAGTTCCCCTGGAAGACACCTAAGTCAGGCCCTGAATGGCATTTTGTTAGCCCCGTGAGGGGTGCAGGTGTATGCCACTTCACTGTAAGAGTAAGTAACTTGTCAAGGCTACGTTTACCAGAGGGAAAGTCAGTGTGCTAATCAGGATCGACTTGGCTCCAAGTCCTTGCACCGCTTCTCAGTGAACAGACTCGCAGGGTCCTTCCCATCCTCACCCGTGAGAGATCTTTGCGTGGCAGCCCTTAGACCACAGCACCCCAGTGTCAACATTAGTCGTTTTGAGATCCCCAGATGGTAACCTATCATTGAATTTCTAATAGCAGGGATGTTAGAGCGTGTTCAAAGGTAAGTCATGTCAGAAGGTAAAAAAAACAATCCCCTTTAAAACTTGAAATGACTGCCACCAAGTATGGTGGCCGTCTCTGTCCTGAGAGAACTGTGGGGGGTCTCTTGAGCAGACAGAGTGCGGAGCCTGTGAGTGCACACCTGTCTTACCGCTTCATCAAAGTACCGTGTGTACTCCAGCATAAGCCAACCCGAGTATCAGCCGAGGCACCTAATTTTACCACAAAAATTGCATTAAAAATGTGCTGGAAAACTCGGCTTATGCACAAGTATATACAAGATTTGTTCTCACTACTACTCTTAAGGAATAGAACTTCATCTGTCTTTGAGGTCCCTGATTTCACACCAGTTACCTTCTTACGTTTCCATTATCTGTTTCCTTAAGTATGTATTGTTGGCTTGGCCTATTTTGATTTTTAGCCTTATGAAACTTCAGTCAGATTATATGCGTGCTTTGTTTCTTAATTGTATTTTGATGAAAACGTAAACCTTCCCATTCTAGCCGGTAGGTGTAGTGATGGGTGACATTGGCTGTATCCGTCACGATGTGTCAGCATTCTCGTGTGTTCTTTTCGGTTGTTTCACTTCCGCTCTTTCATCTATGCTGTAAAGGTTGCTGATCTTTTGGTCATGTGTCTGTGTACGCTTGTATATTTAAATGGAATACTCCAGGTAGTAATCTTTATTCTTTGTGTTAAGCTGTTACTTTGTTAAAAGGGATAGTTTTAATTGAAGATTGAAAAGCAATTTAGGGCCTTAGTCTCGGAGACTACAGGCCCAGGAAGCCTAAATTCTATAAGAATTTAAAGTTCTATTTCACATTTTTTCCCCTTTTTATTTGTTGTGTTCCAGATAAGAATGGTCAGTAGTGGTTTGGTCTCACGGGGGAAGGGAGAATGGTTCAAGTGGATAATTAGTCTTATTCAGTTTCTTCTCTAATTCTTGGGCTTCTTTTTTGTTGTTCCGGATGAATAAAAAACAGTAGATATCTTAGCTGGCTGCTTGTATACTTTGAGGGTCCAGACACTCCTGGGAAGAAGAATATAAGCCTTAAAAACTGTATTATGCTAGTTGACTAGCTCGTCCCATGTGACCATGGCCTTAAGCCCCTAAACCAAGAGCATAATCCCATGCGGTGATTGGATGTGTCTAATTAATATCAGGATCTGTAGTCTTTGTCCATCTCTTTAATTCTCTTTCAGTGGTTCTATTGGTTAAGCGTTAGGCTACTAACAGGAGGGTTGGTGGTTCAACCTCCCAGCTGCTGCCTGGGAACAAGAGGAGGCTGTTTGCTCCTGTGATTTACAGCCCAGTGACTGACTCACAGGGTCAGGGTCACTGAGTCAGAATTGGCTTAATGGCAGTGGATTTGAATTTGTTTATGTTTTGCTTTAGCTTCTTTAGCAATGTTTTATAATTTTTATCATAAGAGCCTTTCACGGCCTTGGGTAAATTTATTCCTAGATATTTTAGCATCTTAAATGCTTATTTTACTCTTTATTTCTCTTATTCTCTTCTAATAAAACATTTTCCACTGTTTCTGGTATTGACACGTGGGTTGCTAAGGTATTTTTTAAACAGTATTATTGAGCTGTATAGTTCACATACTATAAAATTCATGTTTAGTACATTTAAAGAATTGAGAATATCCTTAAACTCTAATATCCAACATCTGTGTGAATGGGACCGGATGTTTCATTCTGTTGTTCAGGCTGCTTGAATTGTAACTGACTGGACAGCACCTGATACTCACACAGCAACTGAAAGGGGGTTCCTGTGTGTATAGAGAACTGGACTTTTTAAAGAAACCCTCGGAGGGTTATTAGCACTGTTTTTGGCTGTTCGGCTTATCTCTCGTTTGACCAATGGGAGCCCCTTCCAGCCAACTCCTGTCTTTTTAATATGTCCCCATCATTCTTGGGACATTTCCTCCTTTTCTGGTATAGCAGTATGTTCTGTGCATGTCTGTGCTTTCCTAGTTCCAACCTTAGATTGTATCATTTCTCCAAGGGGTGGGGTCCTGGTTTCTTTTAGTTGAATGTGGAATTTAAAAACCATGACCTGGTGCTAGTTGTGCTAATCCTTACTACGTGTCATTACTAGGCTAATTCAGCAGACAGAGGTAGGAGATTGCAGTGTGCATGTGCACGCGTGCATATATTTGTACATACATTATCAATTTAAAAAACAGTTGCTAAAGAATCCATTCTGAGTCATGCTGTCAGAGTAGACTTGTGCTCCATAGGGTTTTCATTGGCTGATTTATTGGAAATAGATTGCCAGATTTTCTTCCCAGGTGCCTCTGGATGGATTTGAACCAAGAATCCTTTGATGGACCAGCCCATATGTACATACCCACACTTACATCTGTTTCTTCTTTCTGTACATTTTCATGGCAATAGCTTCGATACAGTTCAGTACTACAGATTTCATTCTAGCCTCTCCTTATTTGTAGTTTTTGTTACAGTAAGAAGCTTGGCTTCTGTTATTCACAACATAGTCATTTACTGCTCCATCCTGACCTGTTGTCATCGAGTTGACGGATTCACGGCTACCCCCCATGTGTCAGAGTAGAACTGTGCTTCAGTGGGTGTTCAGTGACTGATCTTTTGGAAGTAGATTTCCACATCTTTCTTCCAGATGCCTGGGGGTGGATTAGAACCATCAGCCTTTCAATACATATACACATGCTGCTGTATTTATTTTTCGTCTATTTGTACATATTACAATGTAGTACAGTATTCCAGATATCATTCTAATCGTTTCATATTTGTAATTCTCTAACAGAGAGAAACTTGGCAACTTGGCTTTCACTATTCATAGTATATTATTTGCTCCATCCTAGGATATATAGAATTTTAACCTAGACCACAATCAAGAAGAAGCCTACAAACTAGATTCAATAATTTGTTTATAATGCTGTTTGGTTTTGATCTAAGTAAAGGTACAAAATCCAAATACTGTGTTAAAAAATTACTTGGCTTACTTCTTCCCTTACCTTATGTGTGGTTATGATATTCTTTGGATATCTGGTCAGTTTTATTTCTGTTTTTCTATTTTGGTCTTACTTCTATCCTTGTTGATGTTATTTGAACCAGTGAAACAGTACCACGGTTCTGAAATCAGAACTATACAAAACTAGTATACTCAAAACTAGTGTCTTTCTGCACCCTTTCTCATTTTCCCATCCTGTCAACTTTTTCCACCCGCTCCTTGTTTCTGTTTATTCTTCTCATAGTTTCTATTCTTCCTGAATTTATGTGGGCACACCCGGACAACTAATGTCTTATTTTCCCTACTTTCTTACACAAAAAGTAACATACTGTAGATTCTCTTTTGCACCTTGCTTTTTAAACTTGTCTTGGGAATATCATCCCATAGCCGTCTTCCTCATTGTATTTTAAAGTTTCGGAGTATGTCATAGTGTTAATACACCATAGTTCAGTTGGTCTCTCTCCTGTGCATAGGCTCTTGTTTGGTGCTGACAAAACGTCATCTGAAACGCATGTAGATCCCATGCACAGCAGAATAAAACAGCCCTGTCCTATGCATCCTGACGCTTGGTGTTAGGTTTGAGCCCATTGCTCAGGACACTTTGTCAATTTATCTCACCGAAAGTCTTCCTCTTTTTCAATAACCATTTACTTTACCAAGCACGATGTCCTTCTCCAGGGACTGGTCTCTCCTGACAGCATGTCCAAAGTACTTAAGATGATGTCTCTCCAGCATTACTTCTGAGGAGCATCCTTGCTGCACTTCTTCCAAAATAGATTTGCTCTTAGGAAATCCACGGTACCGTCAATCTTCTTTTGCCAGCACCGCAGTTCAAAGGCATCGATTCTTCAGTCCTCCCTATTCATTGCCCAACTTTCACATGCATGTAAGGTGACTGAAAATACCTTGGCTCGAGTCAGGGGCACCTTATTCCTCCTGACAACAACTTTGTTCTCCAGTACTTGCTAGAGGTGTTGGGTGGGAGATTTGCTCAAGGCAGTACATCATTTGATACCTTGATTGTTCCTTCTGGAGTATTGATTTAGATCCAGGAAAACTGAAAACATCAGTCTTTTCTGTTTATCATGCTGGTGTCTATTGGTCTCGTTATGAGGATTTGGGCTCTCTTTACATTGAGTAGCCATTCTTCTTGAAGGCTGTCCTCCTTGATCTTCATCCCCAAGTGCTTCAAATTCTCTGTGCTTTCAGCAAGCAAGGTTGCGTCATCTACATAGGGCAAGTTGTTAAATAAGCCTTCCTCCAATTTTGATTGTGGCCTTCATGCAGTCCACATTCTCTTGATTATTTGCTCAGCATACAGATAGAATATGGTGAAAGGGTACAACTCTGACACACACTTTTCCTGATTTTCAACCACACAGTACATAGTACTCCCTATCCTCTTGGTCCAAGTATAGGTTCCACTTGAGCCCAGTAAAGTCTGGAATACCCATTCTTAGTTTGTTACCCGAAGTTGAATACCTCTGTATAGTCAGTAAAACACAGGTGAACATCTTTCTAGTATTCTCTGCTTTTAGCTGAGATCCATCTGACAGCAGTGATGTCCCTTGGGCCATGTC